GTAGAATGTGTTCATGGTGTGATTAATAGGACGGACGCAAGGACGGGGTTGAGTGGCGGTATTGAAAGAGTGGAAAGCTTTGTTTACTTAGGGGATAAGCTGAACGCGGATGGAGGATGTTTGAGCGCAGTTACGGCTAGAGTTCGTGTGGGATGGATGAAATTTAGGGAACTGGGTGGGGTATTGTGTGGAAAGAAATGGTCAGTGAAGATGAAAGGGAGGGTATATAAAGCCTGTGTGAGAGCGGCGATGGTATATGGTGGTGAAACTTGGGTGTTGAGGAGAGAGGAGGAAAGTGTACTGCAGAGGGCTGAAAGAGCTATGGTGAGGATCATGTGTGGGGTTAAAGTGAAGGATAGGAGGAGTAGTACAGAGCTGATGTCAATGATGGGACTGAATGAGGACATTGTGACATTGATAAGGAGATCAAGATTGCGGTGGTATGGACATGTGTAGAGAAGGGATGAAAGGGTCGGGATTAGGCGAGCGATGGAGTTCGAGGTTGAAGGAGTGGTAGGAAGGGGTCGTCCGCGATTGGGATGGAGAGAGCAGGTGGAGAAGGACAGAGTGAAAGCGGGGTTGCGTGATACTGAGGCGAGTGACAGATGTGGATGGCGTCGAGGGGTATTTAGGTTTCATCATAGGTAGCCAAACGGCAACCCCCGATCTCGGGGAAAATGTCGTCTAAACGTGTGTTGTTTTTGTTGTTTCCTTTATTTTATCCAGGACTGCAACTGAAGCGCTTGTTTTAAATTATGATGCATTTGAAATATAATATGTTAACATTTTTATATATTTTAAGAACGAATAAGTGAACTTCAAATGGGAGTTTAAGCAAACATTTTTTGAATCTATTCAAATATTTTCTGTAAAGTATCACCAAATACTTAGAGTTTATATAGAGCGCCCATTCAAGTCCTCATGAACGCCTTTTTCCATGGTACGCTTTGATACTTTTTCTGAAAACGTGGCCAACACATTTCTAAAATACTTTTATACCCAGATTTGCTTGCTATTCAACCTTTTGAAAAGATTTTCTACCTTTTTATTTTTTTTTCACAAATCAGATGATAAGTTAGATTTCTGAAAGGTCATTTGATTCGTTTAAAAGAAGTTTTATATTTACTGAAAAATTTTGAAAAACACATCAATAGCGGTAAATTTTAATAAAAGCTGAAAATTTAACGTAGAATTAATACCAAACAACAAATCCTTCGAATTCAATAATCATATTCATACGCCACATAAACGGAATAAAAAATGAGGTTAACGATTACAAACTTGTGATTGGATATTCCTCTCCAAACAAGCATGATAGACTTTTTCCAAACTTTGTGCGTCCTCTCATCTTCTGTGTCACTACTGGAAAGTTGTTAACTCAATTTTATCATTTACATTTTATCTTGCTATTACTACATACTCATTTATTTGCTTATTCGTTCATTCATTTATTGTGGTTATAAATAAATCAAGGTCTAGAGCCGGAACCGACATTTTGTTTGGAACGAAATACAAGGCCGGCTAGACAAAATTTTGGTTAATTTCGGTTCAGTGCATGAATAAATTTGAAACTCTAAACCAATTGAAAATTTTTTAAAAAAGAGGCTTTGGATTTTTTAAACTCTTTAATGAATTTAGCAGAGTAAATTATTCGAATTAGAAAAAATTAATGTGCGCATGCGTCATGCCTCCAGCTGTTGAGGATTTTCAGCTGTCATTCGTGTTTCCAGTTCTAACTTACTTAATTCAAAGCTGGTCGGATACTTTTTATTGTACAGTTCATACAGACTTTATAGACTTAGCAGTTAATTTTATTCAAGAATTTTTAGATCAAATCTAAATTAACACTTTTTTGATTAAATTCATACTTGTAAATTTCCCAACAAAAAATATTCAGCCGACAAAAATAACATACTTGCAAAAAGATGCAGGACTGTTAGGTAGGGATTCGTTCAGTTCAGCGAACTTTGGTTTTAATGTGGCTGAGGCTGCTGACAATTTCAAAGAATGATCATTTTTGATGTCATCGTCGTCTTCCTCTTCATCGTCAGTTGTGTCCGCCTTGCTGCTACTAACTTCCGATTCTTTAATATATTCTAAATCCTCTTTAATAGCCGGGAATGTAGTTGCTGTAGTAGCTGTGGTTACTGTTGCAAGATCCTCCTGGTCGTAGATGTAGAAAGAAATTATCATATTTCAAAGTCCCATAAAAGCGATAGCTGTTTAGAGGCCTCAAGACAATTGATAACTATAAGATCAAAAATAAGAATAAAAATGAGCAATTCACTGACTTTATCAGTAAGGGCTTTCTTCGTATTGCATTCATACTTTCTTTCTTTCTTTAAACCTTTGTGGTAAGTGATTGATGTGTGATCAAAACAGTAACATTTAAAAAAATATAAAAATTACTTTTAGCTGAGAGATTGCTGTTGGTGTGCTTTGATGACAGAGCAGCATCTCCGCTGTTGGAAATGCTGCTTGAAGGCGATGATGGTTCCGTGCAGCCCTCGTCTCCTTCCGAATCCGCCAACTTCAAGGAAGTTAGCAGTTTTGTCTCATCAGGCGTCGTGCTGGCGTTTATTTCTTTCAGCTCAGCACTCTCCTTGTGTAAAATAAAGGTAACACTGGTCAGGTCATCGTTGTTAGTAACAATCAGACCATAAAAAACAATTTTTTTTTAAACGATCCACTTTCAAAAAAATCCTCCACCAAAACAGTATAAAAAACAAATGCGTTCTCATGCTCGTCCGGTTTAAATTACTAATTCTCCGAGATCTGTTTTTAATTCCGTCATTAAATCATCATTAATTGAAATTATAAAGGCAATATATTAATTTTTAGACAGAACAAAATTTCCGAAAACTCATTCAAAAAGAAAATTGTCATGTTGGTGTCCAGTCCAATAGGATATCATCTCTAGAATAAAGTTATATTATGTCTCATCTGCTTTCTTGTGCATACTAAATTTATTATTTTTAAGAAGTTAAAAGTGACTCGAAAGTTACTCACAGTTCAAAGAAATTTGACATTTAAAAAATTAGTAAACAAAAAGTAGAGTTGCGGTAAATAATGACTCTTTTAAAAAAATTCCAGCCAAGTGAAAAAGGTGGAAGGCACTTTCAAATGTAAGAAATGTGTTCATGGTGTGATTAATAGGACGGACGCAAAGACGGGGTTGAATGGTGGTATTGAAAGAGTGGAAAGCTTTGTTTATTTAGGGGTTAAGCTGAACGCGGATGGAGGATGTTTGAGCGCTGTTACGGCTAGAGTTTGTGTAGGATTGATGAAATTTAGGGATTTTGGTAAGGTATTGTGAGAAAGAAATGGTCAGGGAAGAGGAAAGGGAGGGTATAAGCATGTGTGAGAGCAGCGATGGTATATGGTGGTGAAACTTGGGTGTTGAGGAGGAAAGTGTACTGCAGAGGGCTGAAAGAGCTATGGTGAGGATGATGTGTGGGGTTAAAGTGAAGGATAGGAGGAGTAGTACAGAGCTAATGTCAATGATGGGACTGAATGAGGACATTGTGACATTGATAAGGAGATCGAGATTGCGGTGTTGAGAACTGGATGAAAGGGTCGGGATTAGGCGAGCGATGGAGTTCGAGGTTGAAGGAGTGATAGGAAGGGGTCGTCCGCGATTGGGATGGAGATAGCAGGTGGAGAAGGACAGAGTGAAAGCGGGGTTGCGTGATACTGAGGCGAGTGACAGATGTGAATGGCGTCGAAGGGTATTTCGGTCTCATCATAGGTAGCCAAACGGCAACCCCGATCTCGGGGAAAATGTCGTCTAAACGTGTGTTGTTGTTGTTAAAAAGTAATTTTTGAAAAAATGTTTTGTCCTAACTCTCAACTTCTGCATCACTCAACTTCTGCAACACTCAACTTCTGCATCACTCCACTTCTGCATCGGTCAACTTCTGCATCACTCAACTTCTGCATCGGTCAACTTCTGCATCACTCAACTTCTGCATCAGCCAACTTCTGCATCACTCATCTTCTGCATCTTTTGTTCTCCTCAGCCATCCCCGCTCACAAAATCAAAAATCAGAAAAACACTTTAATGATTTTCTGCGCACAACTTCTAAATCAAAAAGTAAAGTTAAAACAAATAAACATATTTCCGGTATATGGTATATTATTATTTTGGTAATAAATAATAATTATATCCATCCAAGTAATATAAAATTAGCGTTTGTTGAAAATTAAAAAAATGAAGATAGATAGATCTTACTTCCTTAATATTTGAGACAGAACATTTTAAATTATTGTTTTCAGATTTGTCGTCATCGGCGTTGGTTTTCGTGTCGATTTCATCGGAATATGATTGTTTGCCGTATTTAACTGAATTCTCGTCGTCGGCACTGCTCACGTTCTCTACAGCTTCCATGAGACTCCTTTCAGCTACTTCAATCTCATTGCTGAAATCGTTACATTCTACAATCTCTTTCTCGATTTCATTCGAATTTGTTGTTTTTAGGTTATTAATGTCGACATCATCCTTCATATCAACATCACTGCTGATAACATTTTTGGTATCTGTGCAATTATCCTGAGTGTAATCAGTGGTAGCGTTACATTTCATGTTATCGTTGTCATCATCGGTTTTGTCGTTTTCATTAATCTTTTCAGCAGCTTTTATATCATCACCACCATCTTCAACATCATTGGGGGGATTATCATTATTGTTCTGACTACCTAGATTATCTGTGACTTCATTTTTGCAGACATGTACATCGACTTCGACATCTTCAATAATCTCCTCAGTTGATATCAATATGTCTTCGCTGTCGTTGTTCTCAATTGTCACAAAGTGGTTATCAGTAATATTCAGATAAGATTCATCTACAATTTCATTTTTGCCAAGAATTTTTTCATCGGAGGTCAAATTGGAATCATTATTTTCTTCAAAATCAGCTTTACCTGCAGATTAGAAATAGATTGAAAATGTAAAAAAATGTAAAAAAAATCAATGCCATCGCACTAATGTATAATATTCAAGATTTACAGAGAAAATACAAATAGTGTGAAGTGTGAAAATACAAATATCTGTGAAGTAGGGAAGTAATAAAAAACTAACTGATATCTCGTTCATCTTCTGCATCGAAATCCTCTTCCATGGCATCCTGAATGTTTAATACAAAGTTAAAAAGTGAAAGTATGTTGAAGTGAAAAAAAATTTGTAAAATGTAGATTGGAAATAAGTTTTCACACAACACGCACTTAACAGGTACTGTAGAATGGTTCAAAGAGGGAATGGTGACCTCGATGCTAGTACTTCATTCAAATCTTACTTATTCAAACAAGCGACCACTCCGGAAAATACAATACAAAGTAAAATCAAATATCAGCAAGTCAACTCGCTTATGAATAGACGTGTGCTTATGAAAAAAAATTTTTTAATTAACTTTAAAAACTTTTCTATAAATTTTATTGATTGGCTGACTAGAAAACACTATTTGCAACAATTTTATTATTAGTGTATTACATCTCCGTTAGTGAAATTGGAAAAGGGTCATTGCTAGGATACTGGATGGATCAAGTTCCCCTTCAACTGCTAACAGAAATTTAATTTGGGGAAGAAATTGCAGAACCAACTAACCAACAAACAATTCAAATAATAAAATTCAGCCAGAAAATACAACAATAGATGTCAGGAAGACATTAAAGCTGAATAAATTCTTAAGCGGTATTGTCAGCTACGGCGTCAAAAATTGTTAACAATGCACTAACAATTCACTGCATTATTATCCAATCAGTTTGAGGTAAGTAAGCTGAGCCTTCGTCTAAAATTTAACAAGTTTACAAATATTAGGTTGGCTTGGCACAAAAGTCTTGCATCATAATAACAATTTTTTTAATATATTGCTTTATAACAAATTTTCTGCTCTATAAGGTGCTTTTTTATACTTTTTTGCAGTTGACTGCCAACATGTCAGAGGATCAATTGGTTATGAGCTTAAGCAGTGCGAAAACGGCTCGAAAAATTAACGCTGTTTAGCGCTAGTAAAGTTGAAAAAACTTGTTTTGACGATGTATCCAAAAATTTCGTTTTGGAGATTATGATTTTAAAGACGCACCGCGAATTTGTCGAAACACAGTAAACCAGGATAAAGAAATAACAGCCCTTGTCGAAGCCAACTCATCTCAGACAGTTCAAGGTATGGTGGAAAAACTTAATGTTAGTCGGCACGCAGTTAGAGAGGCATTGAATTAAATAGGGAAAGTGAAAAAGCAGCACAAATTTTCATGTTTCAAAGTTACTTTTTTACTGATTTCGCAGGACAAGAACGACCCGTTTTTGACCGCAATGTTACGTGCGGTGAAAAGAGGATTTTGTACAACATAAAGCGTTCTGGTCATTTGGTGGACTAATATGAGCCCCTAAAACACTTTATAAAAACTAAAACCCACCAATAAAACGTATGGTTACGGTATGGTGATACGATGGCTTTTGAACATACATCATGGAATTCAAGAGTATAGCATATAATTTAAAAATGTATAAATAAAAATGTTACTCAACCGTTTTATTTAATATTGACACTTCTGGATTTTCTTCCTTGTTTTCTGGTGACACGACTTTTTTTTATAAATAATCAACAAATTAAAAATGAATATAATGGAGTTGATAATTTTTACATCCAAAGTGACAATGTAAGAGAAATGATTGGTAATCAGTTTATGAACTGAACTGATAAGTAACTGCCAAATATAACTTAAAATTGTCAAATAGTTTCTTGGAGACCAAATTTCAAAGCAGCAAAAATTTTACACAAATCATTGTAGGCTGGAACTAAGGCAATGTAAGAAGAAGTGGTATGATAATGAAAAGTAAAGAAAGTAATTCTCAAGTAAGAAAAGTATGGAGTGAAAGAGAATTTGAAAAATACAATGATTACAACTTGTACAATTCAACAACGTCATAAAACTTGACTGACTGAAAACGAAGGAACAAATAATTTGAATGAATATATTAACAAACAAACAAACAAATAAAAGCATAAACTTAAAATAAATAAATCAATCAACCAAACCACCAATAACAAATAAATAAACAAATTTTTAGTCATTTTTACTATCTCATTATACAACGATACAAAATACAAAGTTTACTGAACGATCATAATTAAACGCTGATGTTTAAAAAAACATCATAGAATGTCATAGGAAAAGATTATAAGTATGTTTTATATTAACTTTTCATGAAAATATTTGAAGAATAAAATGTAATTGGATGTTTAACAAAAAACCTGAGTCTTCTTCTACAGGTAATTGCTTGTTGGTTTTTTCTCTAAAAAAAAACATTTTTATGAACCAAGTAAAATAATGAATGAACAAATAAGGAATAATGATAACACATTTTATAATACTTCAAAAATACATTTTAAAACAACCAAACGTTACTGAACAGTCATTTCAAGTAAATTTCGGTGAACAAAAATTGACAAATAAATAATGAACTAAAAAAATAAATAAACAGATAAATAATGGCAAAGAAATTAATTTGAATAATTGTCCACAATAAAGTTGGTTCAGACACCAACTGTTTAAGCAGCTGCGTTGGCAAACAATACACAACTGCAAACAAAACTCCATCCATTTAATACATGACATGTTGGCTGATGAACATATATCAAACAAGTGACTATACCGTCGTCACTGATATTTGAATGGTATTTATGAAAAAAGAACCTCATACAATCACTCTTATGTAACTTTTAATGAAGTTTCTTCGAAAGAACTTGTTTATAATACTAAAAAAATTACTAGTATTAAAGTACTTAAAGGACAGCTTCTGGCCATATCAAAAGCATATTGCCTTAAGGAAGAATGAAAGATTGAGAATGGAAAACTAACTGAGATAATTTAGACCATATTTCCTTTATTTGATCCTGCAGTTGGCCAGATTTAATTTTTTCCAACTCGTTCTTCAGAGTCCTGTGCATAACAGAATCATCAGGTGAGTAAATGAATGAATGGCAATAACATTCAACAGTAATTCAATAGATAAATAACGTTTGATGCATGCTGCACCTGTATTTTTCGGCCTGCTGCTGAATGAGGACCTTCAGCTCTTCGATCCTCTCTGCTGTCAACTTCTTCACGATGACGTCTCCAGGCCTCTCCACATCTTTCTCGCCTCTCTTCCTCCTGGAAACAAAAAATTTACAGGTAATATAATCCGACTGCCGATTTAAACTTCAAAATTTAGCTGCAAATATAAAAATTTTTTATTTAAAAAAGCATGGAATTACCATAAATAATATTATAAATAATTTTTTCATAAATTTGTATGAAAAGAGAAGGTCAAGTTGCAGGCTGCTAAGCCATCAAATCGATCAGAAAGATAAAAAAATATCACAAAAAAAAACAGAATTGATTTACTTGATCGAAAATTAACACCTTTCATTATAAAAAATTTTTAACATTCTAAAAATCTAATAAAAAATCTAATAATAAAATAATATAATTAAAAATCTAATAAAACAAAACACATCATTTGAGAGAAAATACTTTGGTGTTTCAACTTTATCCAACAGTTCTTCATACTGCCTGGCACAATTCTGAAGGCGATTAATAACATTATGTATTCGGTTAACAATGAAAACCACCAGTATATTGTTCAAAAGTAAAGTAAAAAAATTATTATGGAAAGATGCCACTTGTTGATTGATGTAAAACTTTTGATAAGAATTAAGTGAGGCGGACTGTGAGATCCGTCACTTCATCTTTACATCTTCATTGAAAATAATTTTATAACAACCAGCATAACATCATGATAATAATGATATTAATCCAGATATCACCAAGTGATGATATCAATCCAGATATCACCATGAATTGTTTGAAATATTATTGCCGTTGTTTTTTAAATTGAAATATATCCAGCAATTCAATTTTTAACCACAGATTTGAAAATAAGAAAAACGGAGAATGACGAAAGGAAAATCAGAATTTGTAAAAAAAACTTTAGTCAAAGATAGAGCAAGATCGTGATAATGAAGTTGTTGGTCACTATTAAATTACCATTAGAAATACTACAAACAGATCAAGCAGCATTGGTAAAATGACGAAGATTGACAAATACAAATGCAGTAAAAATGATGACGCTTTTGCAGAATCTCTATCTAGATGCAAATTATTTTGAATTAAAACAAATAAATCTGGGTAGGAGAAACAAAAAAGTGAAAAATATATCCAGCCAAGAAAAAAATTTATATCCCATACATATTAATTATTACAATTATTCTTAAAAGAATTTATATGATCCCGCTAATTTAAAAGTGAACTTAATTAATAGCAGTTTTCAAATTGGGTATTATCCGTCTAAGGTTTAACTTTATACTATTCAATAATGAAATTTATCCAAAAAAAATTAAACAAAAACATTAAAACTGACTATCTGAGAGAACCAATCGCTGCATCTGCCAGGCTCCAAGAAAGGTCGAATGCTTCGACTCACAGACACCCTGGAACGAAAAAAGGTCATTTCAAGAAAGGTCATTTCAAGATTAACCCAAAAAAGTGTCAATCAACTTTCAAATAATATACAAAAATTTTAACTTCAAGCAAAAATAAAAATTAAAATCAACAACACCTCAAAACAATCAAAACCAAATCCGCAAAATAGGTCCCAAAAATCATGTAAGAAAATTATTCAAATCAAAATACTCCTTCGACAAATCATTAAAATACTTCAACCTATTTTACTACATCCCCTACTCAACCTTCAACGTTTGTCATCCATCATCAGACATCACAAAAAAATCATCAGATATTCCATTCATCAGCCACACATTAAATATTCCCTTCATCAAAAAATAAGTGCATAAAATTTGAAGACATCATCAGCACGGCTGCTTTAATTACCGACGTGAAAGTGGAACCTGGTCAAAAGCATCAGAGGTTCTGGGAAATCATCCAATGTTCCAACTTTCCAATACATTGAATGCCAACATGCTCAACACCCACTTTGAATCTACGTTAACCGACCAGTCTTACTAAACCCCACGAACAAAAGCAACTACAACTATTCATCAACAGCTAACTCCCCCCATCACTCAGACCTGCACATGCTAACGAAAGCCAGCTCATCTGGTACACGTCAGACAAATCATTGCCTAATTTCAATCACCCTCATTGTTTCATGTCTTTCAGAAAAATTCATAATTAGGTCATTTATCCGTCCATATTTCAATCATCCGTCCATCAAACCACTGTAACAGGATCAGTTCACGTTTCGCCCTAGAGGCCCATCTATATCCGCCATTATCTCTCTTACTTCTATCAATCAATCAATTTTTGTTTTGCGTCCAGAGACCCGGTTTCCCGAGGTAGGACGTTGTTTCTTTGCCATCAACTTTTTGCGCCAAATTAGACGATCAGTTGTATCCATTTCATTTAAATTTAGAGCTTTCATGTCTTGCTCGACATGAAACGAGCAAGACATTCTATAATATCATCTAACACAAACACCTTCCAATCAGAACTCAACTCATTAACTACATGGTCAAAGAAATGCAATCCATCACTTAGTCTCAATAAATCATTCAAACACATCATTCACAATAGCTGTAAGAAAATAACATTACCTCCAAAACACCCATCTATCACTTGAACAAATCAATTAAAAATATTAGGCATCCCATTCACCTCCACACTTAATATAGCACATCATATCAGTCACAAAAGGTTTTCAAACATTTCACGCACTCAAAACACTCCGCTCACATGGTCTCAGAGGCATCAAATTATTCAACAGCACTGAATCACTTATCATCTCACACATCAAATATGCAGCTCCCTCCTGGTCTGGTTTTGCTACACAACAACAGCTTAAGCAACTACAATCTCTCATCGAAAAACTAATTCGCTTCAACCATCTACCTGCATCATATCCTACCGTCACTCAGATATTCAACACACTCAATTCAAGACTGTTCAAGGAAATAGAAAATAACAACAACCACGTCGTCCATCCTCTACTACCACCAATTAAAACTACAACACAATCTTCGTCAACACAAGCATAACTATCAAGTCACTACTCAATGAACATATCAGGATAAATCTTTCATTATAAGACACTTGAAATGTATTAATAATCAATAAACATCTGTCACTTGTTAGATATTTTTCCAATGTAAATATTTATTTATTTAGTAATAAACTAAATTCCTTTTAATTCAATAATTCAATTTATTATTTATATGTATGTTGCAATGGGTTCTGCATCTATTAGTTTGTTTTTTAAAGAATAAATAAAGAGTTTAAAAAATCATATTTCATCACAACATATTTGAAAAAGTTGAAGTGTGGAACAAACCAGTTCTGGTCACCACTCCTCATGACAGCACTTGCAAGCGACAACTTCTCACGGGTCGACCAAACATCCGCTTGGCCTCTTTTGAATCTCTTATCTTATGCAAATATGTTTCCATTTAATTTAGTTTAAAAATAATAAAAAAAACTTCACAAATTCATGCTGTTATAATAAGGAGAGTAAGCTTTTGAAACATGTGTTTAATTTAATGTAAAACTTATTTACCATAACGTGTGCTCGTTATATAACTAAAATTGCTATTTATTTTATGTACATTATACACAAATAGCAATTATATAAATTCAATTGTGATATCGCAGTTGTTATAATGGTCTACTAATGGCACAAATTACAAATGAAAAACTAGTAGCATTTATTAACTATTGTCTATTTGACACAGCAAAAGATAAGCAAAGATTTGCATGCCATATAAGTTAAATTAAAAAATAATTGTTAGAAACTAGAAATAGAAATTAGAAAAAAAATCAATTTTTGTTAATCAATATTCAATTCAATGCTTTATAAAATGATTATTAAAGCATTAAACATTAACATTTAAGTCAAGATTAAATAAATTTAATAGTAATTAATATTTTTTATTTATTTTATTTATAATTAAATTATATTATTTTATTTAACAATTAATCAATGAAAAAAATATTGAAATACTTGTAAATTCAGAAGACATGCTTGCCAATTAAAACCTCGACTGGAAACTTATTGTAACTCAAAACACGAAAGACGTATATAAATTTTCTACAGGAGCGATCTCTAGCTATGATTGCGTTTGGTAGAAAAAAGTTATGGAAAAAGTTAATTCGATTGCAATGCACAACACAACATTTGTGATGGTGCAATTACCGATAAATTGAGTCGATTCCAATTCTACGTAATTTTATCCAAAGGGCGGGAGCATGGATATATATAATATATATGAGCGAGAGGCGTTTTATCAGCGATGATTTCAATTGCTTATACATATACATATACATATACGTAATATGCTAATGACCTCTGATCAGCACATATGCAAATTACTTCTTAGCATAAAATAAGCTCATAACCCCTTAGAAGCACATGTGCTAATTACCACTTAGCGAAATATGCAAACTACCATGTTATGTTGTTTTTATAGCGCATATACAGTTATATTATTTATTTAATTATTTATTCATATAATTTATACTATATATGTGAGTGATTCCTAACTTCTTGCTACCTGTATCTCAATCTGGTATCAGACCTGCTCACAGTACTGAAACTTCTTTACTCAAAATACATAATGATATCCTTCTTTGTAGCGATAATAGTAATATTACTTTTCTTCTTGCTCCTGTCTTTTCTTCTGCTTTTGATACGGTTGATCATACTATTCTTTTGAGGCTGACCATTCTTTTAATATCACTGATTCTTGTCTATCTTGGTTTTTTTTATCTCTGTAATTGTTTTTATTCTGTTTTTCTTAATAAATCTACTTCTAACTTCTCTACACTTACTTTTGGTGTACATCAGGGTTTTATCCTTGGCCCTCTTCTATTTATACTCTATACTTCTAAACTACCTCGTATTATTAATAATTTTTCTTTCACTAGTCAACTATATGCTGATGATTATTATATTTATACTTCTTTTCTTCCATCTAATCTCAATAGTGTTCTTCATAATCTATCTCTATGTCTTTCTTCAATTATCGCTTGGTCTGACCCTATGTGTCTTTAAACTTAATCATTCTAAATTTGAATTATATTGTTTTAATAAATTTAAACACTCTATTACTGTTCCTTCTACTATCTAACTTGATTCTAAAACTCTTGATGTTTCTCACAAGTTTCGTACTTTAGACTTTCTCTTTGATTTTAGCATGTCTCTTTCTTTTCAGATTAATAGTGTTGCTAGAAGTTCTTACATCTAAGTAGAATAAAAGACTTTTGCCTTTTCTTGACGATCCTACTTTTCTCCTTCTTGTTACTTTTTTAGTTTTATCTAGGATTGATTTTTGTAACTCGCTCTACTATGGTCTTCCTGATCCTGATTACTCTACCGTTTAAGCAATGCTTTTAACTCTGCTGCTTGTCTAGTTGCTTGTGCCTATTTCTTTTCTCATATATCTTCATATATTGTTTTCTTGCACTGGCAACCTATAAAATAATTTTTGAAATTTGCACATTTATGTATAAGTCTCAATCTAAATTATTTCCTAAGTACTTATCTGATATATTAATGGAACCTGAATGCCCCGGTTTACGGTCATTTTCTTGTTCTCACATCTTACGAGACCAAAACATTTAAATCGAACGTGGCTGTCTTGCGTTCATCTTTCTGGCCCTTTTCTCTGGAACTCTCTACCTCCTTCTTTGCTCTGACTACTTCTCAAAACCCACCTGTTTGCTAAATTTATTATTAAATTTGTTTATTTCCACGATGTTCAACAGCGCTTTATAAACTAATTGATTGATTGATTGCGCTAAAGGGTCATTAGCATATGTGCAAACATGGCACGTATATATTCAATTCATCTCTCAGAATCCATGTTTATTACACCGCCCTTTGGTTCACAAAACGAAAACATTAAATCGAACGTGCCTGTGTTGCGTCCGTATGAAAATAAAACACAGAGAGCAAAGAAGCAACCACCTTTAGCTCTGTCATAACTTTTAAAAATTTAGATGACATCTTACGTTCACGTTTGTTTATGAAGTGGATGAAATGCATAATAAAAATGATGAATTCGCCAACAAGTCGTCTAAGCGGCAAGCGGTTGATGCCTGTATTGACTTTTTGGGTGGCGTAGCTGGTTAGTAGTTAGTACTTTTTTATACGAAGGTTACTTTAGAGACGGAGATGATGTTCGCAACAGACGTTCGGCAACGAATTTTCAGTTCATCAACGAATCGGGTTGTTAAACTAATAGGCGGGCTCGCTGTCCATGTACAATCAGCTGATTAATTGTGTTGCACATTTATTTAATTTAATTTTTAATAGATTTACTTGTTTATTGTGATTTGTTATAATAAAATTAGTATTATTTAATTGCCACTATATTTTTTATTTTTTATAATTTATTTAAAAGATCAATTAAAATTTATAAATCACAATTTTTCAGTTAAATTTTTTGAATTTGGTTATAGGTTTATATTATATTATATTTATACTTCTTTTTTAATAATTTTTTTAATGTAATAAGATTTTACAATTTCATTATTTCTTCATTTTTCAAATAATTTATAAAAAACTGAATGTGTAAATACAAAGAGCATTTACAAAACATATGAGGCTTATTTACAATAATGAGTGTGGATGTCTTTGAGTGTCTTTAGTTAGGTAGAAATAATGATTCTTTTCTTGGATGTTATAAAATAGGAAAGTGTTTCTTGCTAAATCCATTAAGGATCTCTGTATTACATATAATGATAAAATGAGATTTGGTGAGCATGTAGATAGTATTGCGAATAAATGTTATCAAATAATAGGTTTAATTCAATCTCATTTTTTTGGTTTGGATAAATTTTCATTTTTGACTTTATATATATCTATAATCAGATCTAAATTAGATTATGCTTCTGTTATATGGTCACCGTGACAAATTGGTTTGATTGGGAAAATTGAGGGAGTTCAGAAAAGAGTAACTAAATTGTTGTGTGAATGTCGTGGTATGAAATACAATGAAAGGCTGAGGTTTTTAAATTTATCCACACTTAAGTTTCTTAGAAACAGAGGAGATTTGATTACTTTGTATAATATTTTGAATGGTAACTTGAATAGTAATTTATATCCAGATCTAAAATTATGTACAGATATGTTATGTAAGTTATGTATAACTTAAATAGTATTGTTATAATACTCGCTGTCGTAACCGATTTACGATGCGACGGGTTCAAATCTTCGATTGAATAAAATACTCCAAACAGTTATTAAACTTTATTTACAGAAGAAATCAACTATTATTAGTTATTAAACTTTATTTACAGAAGAAATCAACTATTATTAGTTATTAAACTTTATTTACAGAAGAAATCAACTAATCGTTTATTTCCAGTAAATTCGCACTAACGC